AGATCCAAGAGGCTGGAGAACCTCTGCTTCCTGTCCCTCGTCCCCTGGGGGGGTGACCTTTGCGCTCCCCGGCCCTCAGACCGTTTCACTGGCCGGTGGCACGCCTGTCCCGGAATAGCTTCTGCGCACTAGGTTAGGCTATATCTGTGCTGTGGTGTTGGAAATAGAAGCGCTGCTAAGCCGGTGGGTATTTTCAGTTGAAAGCCCAGCACAAAGCACGAAGTGTTGTCACGCCATCAGTTTTATGATGAGGCGTTTCAATCATAACCTTGTGTTCATTTCCAAGCAGGGAATGCTACTGCTTTACACGGAATTCATGTTTTCCAGCCTATGTTCCAGTTGACTGAGTCCCTGTGTGTGTGTGTCCGCGCGCACATGTGTAAAGTGCTGTCAAGTTGCATCCGACTTATGGAGACCCCAGCAAGGAGCTTTCAAGGCAAGCGAGATGCAAGGGTGCTTTCCCACTGCCTTCCTCTGTGAAGTCTTCCTTGGTGGTCTCCCTTCCAAGTACGACCCTGCTTAGCATCTGAGATCTGATGAGATCGGGCTGTATGCCATGCTGCCCCACCCTCTCAGTTGAGTCCCCGGCTCCCAACTTTGGATGCCTTGACAACTCTTAATGTCTGGGGGGCTGTAGGAGAGGACGCCCACCGCGTGCCCCTTGTCCTGGGAGACAAACTGCTCAGGTTCCTGCCTCTGGCCGCCTTGAGGCTCCAGAAGAAGAGCAGACATGCTGCTGGAGCTGCAGGCCTTTTGAAAGAGCAGAGCTCCACGGAGTGTGTGTTGCACTGGAGTGGCGCACCTGAAGCTTCCCTCTGTTGCCCTTGGCCTGTACTGCCTACTCTGGCTGGCGGTGGGTCTCCGGGTTCTTCTGCCAAGGTCTTTCTACCCGGTCCTCTTAACTGGAGGTACTGAGGATGGAATCCGGGGCCTTCGGCATGCAGTACAGATGCTCTGCCACTGAGCCACAGCCCCTGCCTGCTAGCCAAGAGAGAGGGTGCCTTGTGATCAGCCAGGCACCTGCGAGTGGGGTGGGGAGCAGGCTGTGCAGGGGGACCCCATTTGTCTCCTGCCCTTCCCCCGTGGTTTCCCCTTCTGCTTTTTTCACACAGCAGCCTGAGAGGTTGCTTGGGCTGAGGGGTTGTCCCAGTGAGCTTTGTTGTCTGAGTGATGGTTTGAACCTGGGTCTCCCGGATCCAGGGCTGATACATGCACCAACTCTCAGTGGTTCTACTCCGGTTGTGAAACACATGCCAGAAATGGAGCAGGGTCTTTATACCGGTGGTCCTCCACTGGAAAGACACAGGGGCTTCATAGCAGCTCCTACGAATTTGCTCTCCCTCAATCCCTCCAGACCTGAGGGACCTGCCACGGGTTATCCGTCTGTGACCTGACATGCTAGTAGCAACCTTTTTAATATGCCCTATAGTTTTCCAGAAATGGTTCATGTATCAACACAATGCCTGTAAATGAGTACATGGCCTTCTTGGAAAAGTGGGCTGTATGTTTCTGTCATGGTGGGACCTGCGTTCTTCAGCTGATGTAAGATCCAAGAGGCTGGAGAACCTCTGCTTCCTGTCCCTCGTCCCCTGGGGGGGGTGGCCTTTGCGTTTCCTGGCCCTCGGACCGTTTCACTGGCCGGCTGCACACGCCTGTCCCGGAATAGCTTCTGCGCACCAGGTTAGGCTATCTGTGCTGTGGTGTTGGAAATAGAAACACTGCTAAGCCGGTGGGTATTTCCAGTTGAAAGCCCAGCACAAAGCATGAAGCCCGGATGAGGGGGAAGTGGAGGAAGTGCTTCTATTGTGTGGGGTAGTCTGAGTCAGACCCATCACGTCATCCTGGAGGGCTGAGAACAGCCCCCAAATCCCTGCCCCTCTTTGGCAGTGCAGTGAACCAGTGGACAACGTGGGTCTCCTCCAAGGAGCAGCTCGGTGGTTCTCGTGGCTGCAGCACTCTGACGCGCAGGGGGCTCTCGGAAAGCACCGGGTTGTCTTCCCCCACATTTCAGATGATGCGGAATGTGGCATACTCTGTCCATTTTAAAAGAACCAAACTGGGTGCTAGGCACAACTGAAAGTCTTACTTTCATTAAGCCCTAAGCGGCCAAGTCCTGGGCTACCTGCAGAACCACCTGCTCCTTATCAGCTTGCCTGCTGAGTTTACACTGGTACCTAAGAAGAAGAAGAGAAGAGATTGGATTTATACCCCGCCCTTCACTTGGAGTCTCAGAGCGACTTACAAACTCCTTCCCCTCCCCACAACAGACACCCTGTGAGGTAGGTGGGGCTGAGAGAACTCTGACACAAACGGCTCTTTTTCAAGGACAGCTGTGCCAGAGCTTGTGGCTGACCCAAGGTCACATCAGCAGGTGCACGTGGAGGAGTGGGGAATCAAACCCGGTTCTCCCAGATTAGAGTCCGCACACTTAACCACTACACCATACTGGCTCTCAAGGCCCATCTCTGTATATGCCCACAGGTGGGGGGCGGAGAGAGGGGTCTTTCCAGTGTTGGCCCCTCGGCTCTGGAGCACATTGAGAATCTTAGAATCACACAGAGCTGGAAGGGGCCATCCAGGCCATCTAGTCCAGCCCCCTCTGCTCAGTGCAGGATCAGCCTAGAGCAGCCTGACAAGTGTTGGTCCAGGGGCCTGTTTTTTTTAAGGGTTTAGGCACCAGGTCAAAACCTTTTGTATTTGCGCAAGCCTTTGTGAATGGTGTGATTTTATTTATCCCCTTTATTGTGCTGTTTAATTTGATTAGCTGCTCTAGCTCCGGTTCTTTTCTGAGCGGCTGTTTTGTTTTGCTGCTGCTGTTTTTTTAAACTACTACCGGTATGGCTTTTCGTTTGGAAGTTACTGTAAGCCGCTCCGATTCGAACACTGCTTGGAGAATGAAGCAAATAAGCATTCTGAGTCAATGAAGTGCTGCGGTGTTTCCCTGTCTTACGGAGGGCATTCTTTTTTAATCCTGCCCTTCTGCCAAGGCCCCTTGGGGCAACATGTGTGGTTCTCCCTTCCCTCATTTTATCCTCACAACAGCTCTGTGGGGTAAGTTAGGCCGAGAGTATGTAACCGGCCCAAGGTCACCCTGTAAGGTTCCATGGCAGAGTGGGGATTCGAACCTGGGTCTTTCAGATCATAGTCTGAGACTCTACCCCTAGACTACACTGGCTAATTGGTTCAGAAGCCTTACAGTCAGCTAAAAAGGTGCCCTCCATTATCCAGGCAGAGAGTCAGTAGATATCCCCACCCCGTGGAAAGGTGTGATCCCTTGAGAAGGCATTGTTGGTTTCTTCTTTAGGTGATTAGCATCTAAAGCTGCAGGTGGCGGTTATTACTCATTTGTTCTGACCATCATGTTTCTTCCCTCAAAGCATAATTTTTTTGCATAGTGCTCTTGTTTCCTCACGTTTCCTGGGCTTGTCAGTGTCCATGTAATATTGAGCAAGCTTGGCAGTTTCAAAGCTGTAATTAATATTTTTCAGGTGATAACCTCAAGGAATTGTGAGAGAGAGCATATTGGGGGGGGGGAATAAAACCACAATACACATAACAGTCTAAATAAAAACTCAGATTATGAATTCACCTGGCTGGCCATGCCAGTCCAATCACAACCAAGCTAAAATTCTGATTTGATCTCTGACGACAAGTGAAAGCAAAGCCAGAACTGTGGTTGATTTAGCAGAGCAACATCTTGCTGGAAATATTTGTACAAGACTCCTGGGAACAGAACTGGGAGACTCAGGGCAAGCAAGAGGAATAGATTAGGAAATGACCGTGCCACTAAACTTGTTCCTGTTTCCCTCAGTCAGTCACAGGCGAGTTCTTCACGGTGGAGCCAGCCCAGACTCCCAAAGCGAGGACAGACTCCGCGCCAGCCTCTTCATTAGGACCGGCCCCAAGGATACCCGGCAGCGTGCAGGCCTCTGAGTTGGGAAGCGTGCACGACAGCTCTCTGTCGTTTTGCTTGGTCTTAATAGAAGGCATGAAGCGCAATTAGTGAAGACACTGGATTGAGATAGCTTGCTCTCGAGTCATGGGTAAAGCCAGCCTGTAGCAAAAGAAAATGTGTTTCACATTCTTCTGAATCAGATTTGTCTCAGCCTGGTAGGAAGCTAACAGGTCACGCAAGCGACACCTAGGAGCGTGGCAGTGAAAGTGAGGTGCCTCGGTTTCCTCCCTGGAAGGGAGTTAAATTCTGATGGAGCAGATGACTGGGCAACCATCTCCTGTCTAGAAATAGGCCACCAACCATTTTCAGTGTCTTTTGCTCCTCACCCCCTCCCCTGTAAGAGTCCAGGGGCACCTTGAGAGTCAACAAATATATCCCAGTGTGAATCAGAGTCCACTTCATCAGATGCACTGGAGTTCTCAATCCCTCAGGCCAGTTTCTATAAATGATGGAAAGGCAGGAGAAGGGTATTTATGGACTTATCTTCCAGTGCTTCTAATGGAGCGGGCTCTGAGGAGGGCTGCCAAAGTGGGAGAACCTGATCCCGGCAGCCCCAGTTCCCCGGTGCCGTCCCGTAGGGCGGCGGGGAAAACTGCTGTTGTTCCAGTGGCACAGCATTGCTTCTGGAGTGGAGCTGGGAGGAGTGTCGTCATGTCAGGGGGCTGCTGTAGGATTCCATTGAAAACTCTATGGTAAATCCATAGAGTTGCATGGCCTTGTGCACGAAGTGACATCATGCCATCAGAGCAACAGCAATTCACATATCCCTGCACTACCTCCCACCAGTTCCTGGCAACCCTAGCTGTGACTCACACGAGCTTATGCTGTAGCAAGTGTTGTTGCTATGGCCTAACACAGCTGCCCACTTGGTTTTTTCCATAAATACAAGCCTGCTAGATCAGGTGACCTGCTGTTTCAGGCTCTGGAAAATATCCCGCTTAAAACCCGCATCCCTGCCTGGAGTCCCTTGGCTGGCCCAGACGGGTTTGGGGTCTGATCTGGTGGGCCTGCTCTTCTGTTTCCTAACCGTCTGTGTTGTTTGTAGCCCCCAGGAACCAGCAGCTGACAAGCGTCCTGTTGCCACCCTTGCCCAGCCCGTGACCCCTCGTGCCTCGCCTCCAACCACGGCGGAGTCCGCCAAGCCCACCCTCTGCAGAGTCATCATCTACCTGCAGAAGGAGATGTCCGGGGACACCTGCCTGACCACCGCCCACCCCCTGCCGGGAGCCAAGCCCAGGAGCGGCAGTGTCAAAGCTGGCAGCCCGGGCAGCAAATACCTGCGCCTCAACGTGGGCGGCTCCCTGTACTACACCACCGTGCCTGTGCTGACGCGGCACGACACCATGCTGAAGGCCATGTTCAGCGGCAGGATGGAGGTCCTCTCTGACAAGGAAGGTGAGCGCCAGGCTGGTAAGCGGGTCTTTCCTTGCTGCCACGAGCATGTGGTTAAAATGGGATTGGGGGGGGAGAGAAACGCTTGTCTCTCCCCCCCATCCTGTTTGTAACCAGATGCGCATGGCAGCACACAAAATCTGTCAAAGCCGTGCAAAACTGTCTTATGCTGAGTCAGGCTTTTGCTCCCTGGAGCCAGAAATGTGTGCTCTGACTGGCCGCTGCTCTCCAGAGTCTTGCGCAGGAAGAGATTTTTCCCAGCCCGTAAGGTCATTTGAACAGGCGATGCCGTTGGGGTTTGAGCCAGGAGGCTTCTGCATGCCAAGCAGATGCTCTGCCCCTGAGCCACGGCTCCTCCGCAGTTGACCTGCAACAAAGCCCAGCCCTCCCCCGCTTCTCCCTCTGCTCTCATATCCCAGTCTCTTCTCCCCACCCGTCAGCTCTTCCGGCTGCAGCCCCTTCGGCGCCCCCACCTTCCCCCCCCCTGCTTCCCCCCAGGCCTGGCACTGCTTCCTGCAGGATGCCCCTTCTCTCTCTCCCTCCCAGCTGCTCCTCAAAAGCCACCATTCCCGTGAAGCCTCTGGCATGTGGCCCCTTCCCTACAGAAACAGCAGTCTGTGTGCAAAGGATGCGCCCCGATCCCTCCCGAGTTCATCCTTCACCTCTCTTAGTTGGTTTTCTTGTGCCAGTTTTCAGATTGCAAACTCTGTGGGGCCGGGGGGCCTGTCGGCTTCCAGGCTGGTTGCCTGATGGGAACTAACAACTAAATGGTGGTGGTGGGAAGGAAGAAAGGAAGGAAGTGCCACCAAGTCGCAGCCGACCTGTGGTGACCCCCACCCCGTCAGGCTTTCAAGGCCAGGGGTGTTTGGAGGTGGTTTGCCATAGCCTGGGTGGCCTCTCCCCTCCCGGCACTGGCCAGTGCCGGCCCTGCTGAGCTTCTGAGATTGGATGAGATCCGGCTGGCCTGGCCCTTCTCGGTCAGGGCTTAGCCTAAGGAGGCCCAGGCTCAAATTTCTCCTTTGCTGCAAAGCCTTCTGGGTGTCTCTCTGGCCCTCACTTTCCTCACTGGGTAGGAAAGCTGTTCTCAGTAGCGATTCCACAGCCACGACGTTTCCCTGCCTCGGGTCACCCGTGGAGGTGTTGAGGTCTTGCACAGTGTTTTTGCTGTCGCCCCCCCTGCTGTGCATTTGCTGCTGTGGGTGAAGAGGGCCTGTCCTCCCTGGACTCAGTCTTGCCTGCTGCATGACCTTCCCAGTGGGAGCCCCGGCATGGTGGGTGGGACGCCGACTCCTGTTGAAGGGCCGTGTCTTCTGTCCACCCCCCAGGCTGGATCCTCATTGATCGTTGCGGGAAGCACTTTGGGAGCATTCTCAACTACCTCCGCGACAACACAGTTGCGCTGCCCAAAAACCGGCAGGAGATCAAAGAACTGATGGCGGAAGCCAAGTATTACCTAATCCAGGGGCTGGTCGACCTCTGCCAGGCTGCCCTGCAGGTAAGAGCAAGCGGGACAGTGGGAGGGGGATGACACTCTGCGCGTGAGCCTTTCTCAGACTCCACGTCAGAGAACTGCAGGACCAGAAGGCTCCGGGGGGAGAACCCTCCACTCTCCGGCGTGTGCAGTCAGAAGGCCCTGTCTGGGGATGTGACAGCAGCGGCGGCAGCAGGGAGTCAGCTGCCGCCATGCCTCGTTTTATCAGTTCTCGTGGGGAGGGACTGGGCGGGCCACTGTGGAAAACACTGCTGGGGTCGGTGGACCTTTCATCTGGTCCAGCAGGGCTCTTCACGCTGCGACCCGCTTGTTGTTTCCTCTGGCAGAGATTTTCAAGTGGAGATTTCAGAGTCTGGTGCTCCCGTGCCCAAACCCAGCACGAGACCTTAACCGCTGCACGTAGAGTGGAGGGTCTCCGCCTGAAGTTTCAAGGCAGGGGAAGGAGGGCTGAGAGGGAAGGAAGGCGGGTCAAGGTGGTGACGAGGGCCCAGGGACGATTTGCATTACTCCGTATGGCACAGAGAAAATGGGTAGAGAGAGATCTTTCCCTCCCCTCTGACATTAGAATTGGGAGGCACCCAATTTTATTTATGTATTAGATTTTTTTTAAGTCGCTGCTCACCCAAAGGGTCTCGCAGTGACTTACGTCATTAAACTGGTATAAAAAGGTAAAAACATAAAAACAAGTATAAAATATTAACATTACAGTATTAAACAGTTAAAATCTGTGGATAGCACCATAGCATCAAACAAGCCAAACATGCGAATTACCCTTCAAAGGCAAGCCTAAACAATCCGGGGCAGGGGTGTCACCCGAGAGTGCCTTCCACGGGATAGGGGCCACAACCGAGAAGACCCTTCCCCTGGAGACAGCTAACCGAGCCATCCCGGGGCCAGGCCCCTGCCAGAGGCCCCTAGAGGATGACTGGAGGGAGCATGGGGGGGGGGTTGTAGCAAGAGAGATGGTCCTGCAGGCATGAGGGTCCCCGGCCATTAAGACCTTTAAAGTGACAGTCCGGGTGAGGTGGCGGTTAGAATAAAATCTCAAAAGGAGAGCCACACATGCCGCTCTGAGGCTCCTTGAAGGACAGGTGAGGTAAAAATGGGCTGGATGAGTGGAAAGGATGAAGCTGATGAGAATAAGAGGGAAAAGACATCAGTTCTCCTTATGGAGTGTTTTGCCTTTGGATGTGGTGATTTCAAGGCAGGAGACCTTCAGAGGTGGTTTGCCTTTGCCTGCCTCTGTGCAGTGACCCTGGTCTTCCTTGGAGGTCTCCCGTCCAAGTACTGTCCGGAGCTGACCCTGCTGAGGTCAAGCCGGCCTGGGCCATCCCTGCTGCTGTGATGGGTACGTGGCCCCTCCAGGTTCAGACACAATTTACATCTGCATACCAGGGTCTGTTAAGGGAACAAGGCTTGCTTTTGGGGACTTCCCGGAAACATCTGATTGGCCAATGCGGGATACGGGACGCTGAGCTAGGTGGGCCAGGGGTCTGGTCCCGTGGGGAATCTCTCACGTTCTCTCTCCTTTCACTGCCCTTTCTCAGGACAAGAAGGATTCCTACAAGGCAGTCTGCAACATCCCTGTCATCACCTCCCCCAAGGAAGAAGAAAGGCTCATAGAGTCCTCCGTGAAGGTGGGTGTCTGTCTGTGTCTGGGGGGAGGGGAGGGGAGGGGAGGAGGCGCTTCCTGGGACTCCCGCTTTGGGCCGCTGCATCAGAGGCTGGGGGTTCGGAGCCTGGAGGGTGTCGCGGGTGAACGAGGCGCCTGTGCCCTGGTCTTTTGCCGGGGGAAATGAAGCGGAGAGAAGCCACCTTCCCTGGAGGCCTGCTTCTGGTGAGCCACTCTGCTGGGCCCGGCCCTCTTTCGGTGTGGTGCTCTTTGGGGGCCTGTGCTGTGGAGTGGTCAGAAGGCTGGGCTGGGACTGGTTCAGATAGCCACGCAACTAGGGATTTCACTTGCTGGACTTGGTGGTTTTTGTGAACTTCTAGCCTGACCCACCTCACAGGGGTGTTATGAGGCTAACATGGAGGAGGGAAGCCCTGCTTGTGCTCTTCCTCCTTGCTAGGAGGACGGGATGCGCAGCTGGCTGGTCTCACTCCGGGCGCCTGCCGGGGAGCCAAAGCACCTCTGATAAGGAGCTGCAGCCGCGTTTGCTCGCATTGCCCCCGGCAGCCTTTCCCAGCATTCCCTGGTTCCCAGCACAGGGACACCGTTTGGGACTAACATGGGGAATGGGCTTGTGTGTCTGCACAAGGAGCAGAAGATCGGGGTCTTTTACCTGAGGAGGTGACTGCAAGTAGCGAGTTTTGGCAGGAAAAAGGTGACGGAGACCTGATTTAAAGGTGTAAAAAAGGCATATGGCGTTTATTGGGATTTGGTACAGTGGGAGTGTCTTAAGCAGACACGGTGGTGGTGGCGGCAGTGGTGGTGGCAGTGATTATTTTGCCATCAAGTCACAGCTGACTTATGGCAACCTAGTGGGGGTTCCAAGGCAAGAGCTGTTGCCTGTCTCCATGTCACGGCCCTGGGCTTCCCTGGTGGTCTCCCACCCAACTCCTGACCAGGGTCGGCCCTGCTTACCTCCCGAGATCTGACAAGCCCGGGCTTTCCAGGTCAGACACTGGGCATGGGGGCGGGGGTGGAGAGTGCCCTCTGGTCCCAGCTGACCTACGGCGACCCCGGTAAGCTTTTCCAGGCAAGAGACGTTCACAGGTGGCTTGCCGGCACCCTGGTACGCCTAGAAATCAGGCAGAAGGCGGAAGGGGTCCGTGTGTTGAGTTCCTGAGCTGCAGTCCATGTTGAGGCCCAGCTCAGACTCAAATGACGGGCCCTAAAGCCAGACCGATTTGGCTGTTTGGGGCCAGAAGGGCAACACGGGTTTTTGTCATGAAACGAAAGGCCGTAGCACAGGATAAAGGAGTGCTTGGGAGTCGGGCATCTCACCATAGAACTGACTAAATGATCAGGGAAGGGCAGCAGGAAGAGACGCTATTGATGGAATTACAATTCAGAATTACAAAACTGATGGCACGAAGGAGAGTCATATTTGACGGGAGCTTTGGGGACAATGGGAAGATCTGAATCGGAGGTTCCGGGCTGTCACGGGACACTGAATGTCTGGATTGTGTTAACGGCCAGTGATCGCATATCACCTAAAAGACTGTGCAGGGGGAAGGTCTTTGTCTTTGAGCTTGGTGCAGCTTAATTGCGTCCGTCCTGTTTCTCCTCAGAAAGCGTCCCGGGCCGGCTAGATCGTTTGCTGTGTCCGTGGCCGTGCGAGATCCATGGCGAGTCGCAGAGCCTGGCCGCTGCTCCCCGCGCTCCATTCTTGCCACGTGGGGCTGGGACTTGCTCGCGCAGGGCACGCCTTCGGGCTGGAGGGGTGTGCAGATGGAAGTGCCCGGGGCTGCCACCAAGGCAGCGGGTGTCCGTGGCTTTCTCTCCCAGGGTTGCAGAAGCCAGGCTGGGCAGGGGTTTGGCCCCATTGCGCGCCGAGGCACCCAGGGCTGGGATAAGCAGCCTGCCCAGGACTCTGCTGAATGGTCAAGCGGGCCCAAAGAGCGCATGGAAATTGGTGTGCTGGATCAGACCAAGGTCCACGTGATCTCCCCCAGTAGTGGCCGCTGGATGCCGCTCTGGGGTGCTCACAAGTGGGCTGTGCTGGAAACGCCCTCCCCTTGCTGGTGGGCTCTGCACGGGGAGGCTCCCAGCCTCTGAGCTGGTGGTCCACCACAATGCCGCTCTCCTGTTCTAAGCTGACACTTCCTCTCTCTTTCTAGCCTGTGGTGAAGCTGCTTTACAACAGAAGTAACAACAAATACTCCTACACAAGGTAAGATCTGTGCTTTCTGAATCGGCATGATCCTGGTGCGTCTGGTACCAAAGACACTCTAGACCAGTGGTTCTCAACCTTCCTAATGCCGCAACCCTTTAATACAGTTCCTCATGTTGTGGTGACCCCCAGCGGTGTCTCGGTTCCTAAGAAATTTGTGTTTTCTGATGGTCTCAGGCGACCCCTGTGAAAGGGTTGCGACCCACAGGTTGAGAACCGCTGCTCTAGAAGAACTGCCACAACTGGTGCTCCCTGTAAGCCATGGAGTCTGGTGAGCAAAACCTCTGCTTTGTGAGCTCCTGGCATTAAAGTTTTGGGCGAGCGATTTGGCTGCTGCATCAATCAGTTTGCTCCGGAGCCACATCCTTCCCAAGCTAAGACAAAAATGTGTGAGCCGGAGGCTAAAGAACGATGAGCCAGCTGACACTCGCTCAACGGAGAGGGAGCCCTGGAACCCACAGCAGGCGCTGTTGCAGGCAGAAGGGCCTGGGAAGGCCATCGTCATGATGCTTGAGCCCCACAAGGTTTGGAGGTGGGGAGGCGGCCGACTTGCTTGGCTTGGTCGGATGGGGAAGATTTATTTATTCACTTAATTTATGCCCTGCCTTTCCCCCCAGTGGGGCCTCAGAGTAGCTTACATGGTTCCCCTTTTTTCAATTTTAACCTCACGACAACCCTGTGAGGTAGGGTCAGCCCGGAGAGCATGACTAGCCCAAGCCCCCCCCCCCCCCCCCGGTAAGCTTGCATGGCACAAGTGGGGATTCCAGCCTGGGTTTCCTTGTCCGACAGTCTAGCCCCGGGAGTGGAGAAGAAGCTGACCAGAAGTTGGGAAGGAGGGGGCATCCCACCGAAAACTGAGTAGGAGGTGGCTGTTATTATGGAACAAACCTCTGCCTGCAGGTTTTCAAACGACATCCAGTACATTGTTAACCCACCCTCCTTCCAAGGAGCCAGGGCTGCATGCATCATTCCCACCCCACGTTGTGTCTGTTGCAGACTTGTGATCAGAGGTCGATTCGGGGGATCGCCGTTCCCCTGGGTGAAAATGGAATGCTTTCCTGTCTAGAATGAGAAATTAATTACGAGCTTATATAATTGATGTTTTATAATAGCTTTGTGGTTTGTACTTCAGAACTTTACCTGTATTCGTTTTATCTCTATATTTTAAAAATCGAAAATAAACTAAAAACAGTCAGCATGGTTGGAGCGCTGTCCTCATGAGAAAGAGTGAAATGATTTGGGAGCTTGAGGGTTTTTTAAACCATAGATGATGACTGAGGGGCGTGTGATGTGGAGAAAGTGGGTGGATTGGACCCTTTCTCCCACCTTCATAATTCTAGAACTTAGAGGGGGGTGCCCAGGGAATCCGCTGTGCAGTTTTTTGGGGACAGGCAGGATGGAGTGCTGGTTCCTGGCTCACATTGTTTTAAAAGAGGATCGTTGGTACAGGCAATTGTACATGGTCAGAAGTGCGGGGGGGGGCCTGTTCTGAGGAATGTGAAGACCAGCCAGGGACATTTCTACAGATTTGGAGGGGGGGCCTTGGGGAGAGCAGAAAGCTCAGCAGGGGTGCCGTTGAGTCCACCTTCCAAAGCTCCAGATCTCTGAAGAGATCTTCTGGGGAAACTCCAGGCCCCACCTGGAGGCTGTCAACCCTAGCTATTGCTTTCACGTTCGGGGGGGGGGCTTCTTGGAAGCTTTGGTGTGTCTGTTCTGGGAAATGGGATGCCTTGGGTCTAATTTGGCTGGGCGCCTCTTTGGTTCTCGTGCAGAAGAGCATAGACATGATAGATAAAATGGTCCGGGGGGGGGGGCATTTGGGTCTCCCCCTTCCTTCACTTCTGTTTTCTTCCCCTTGCATTTCAGCAACTCTGATGACAACCTGCTGAAGAACATTGAACTGTTTGATAAGCTCTCCCTCCGCTTCAACGGGCGGGTCCTCTTCATCAAGGATGTGATTGGCGATGAGATCTGCTGCTGGTCCTTCTACGGGCAGGGGCGGAAACTGGCCGAAGTCTGCTGCACGTCGATCGTCTATGCTACCGAGAAGAAGCAGACCAAGGTACGGGGACTTTGGTCTCCAGCTTCCTGTGGGGAGATGCTGACGCAGACATTCCTGTGTGCCTGGCAGGTTTCCTCAAGGCAAAGTCCAGTAGTTGTGCTGGAGAGGCTAAGGGCATCTTTTGAAGTTAGGTCTGTGAGGATTCATACCTGGACATAGTTCCAGGTTAGCTCCTTAGTTGATTGGGCTCTATTTTTTGGCCACATTTTTGCTTGGGGTGGGGTCGTCGTCTGTGCTTGGGGGAGTTACTCCCATGTAGATCTCTCTCGCCATTGTTCTCCTTCAGTGGGGTGAAGTCATCCACACTGGTTAGGCCACGCCTCCTCTTGCTCCAGGCGAGGCTATGCAGATTTGTGCAGACTCTATTGGCTCAGAGTGAGGCTGACCCTCCCGTTTCAGTAGCTTTGCCGCTCCAGCAGGACGCTTGAGCCATGCTCTGCTTTCTTGGAGACTCTTGACTTATTGCTTTGGAAGGCAATGCAATCCGGAGCACGGGCCACCAATATGGTGGTTAGAATGAACCTATGGCTAAATCATTTGAAGGTGGATCCTCTGTCTATTTTGGATTCATCAGCATTTTAAAAAGAATGGGAACTAAAGGACTTTAGGTGCTCTTGCACCTTTGGCTATGGGTCCAGATTCCAACAGAGACAGCTCCCTCCTAACAAACAGGACAGGAACCAACAAAACAAAGACCATAAGAACATAAGAGACGCCAATGTTGGATCAGGCCAAAGGCCCATCCAGTCCAACACTCTGTGTCACACAGTGGCCAGAAATACCAGGTGCCATCAGGAGGTCCACCAGTGGGGCCAGGACATTAGAAGCCCTCCCACTGTTGACCCCCCCCCCAAGCACCAAGAAGACAGAGCATCACTTGCCCCAGAGCCCCTATCTATACCTTGTGGCTAATACGCACTGATGGACCTCTGCTCCATATGCTTATCTAATTCCCTTTTGAAGCCGTCCATGCTTGTAGCCGCCACCACTTCCTGTGGCAGTGAATTCCAAGTGTTAATCACTCTTTGGGTGAAGAAGTACTTCCTTTTATCCGTTCTAACCCAACCACTCAGCAATTTCATGGAGTGCCCACGAGTTCTTGTATTGTGAGAAAGGGAGAAAAGTACCTCTTTCTCTACCTGCTCTTTCCCATGCATAATCTTATAAACCTCGATCATGTCACCCCTCAGTCGTCTTTTCTCCAAGCTAAAGAGCCCTAAGCGCCTTAACCGTTCCTCATAGGGAAAGTGTTCCAACCCTTTTATCATTCGAGTTGCCCTTTTCTGCACTTTTTCCAAAGCTATAATATCCTTTTTAAGGTGTGGTGCCCAGAACTGCACACAGTATTCCAAATGAGGTCTCACCATTGATTTATATAGGGGCATTATGATATTGGCTGATCTGTTTACAATACCCTTCCTAATAATCCCCAGCATAGCATTGGCCTTCTTTATTGCAGTCACACACTGTCTCGACATTTTCAGTGAGTTATCTACTACAACTCCAAGATCTCTCTCTTGATCTGTCTCTGCCAGTTCAGACCCCATCAATGTGTATTTATATTTAGGATTTTTGGCTCCAATGTGCATCACCTTGCACTTGGCCACATTGAACCCCATTTGCCATGTTGACGCCCACTCGCCCATCCTTGACAGATCCCCTTGGAGTGCTTCACAATCCTCACTGGTTTTCACCACCCTGAACAACTTTGTATCATCCGCAAATTTAGCCACTTCACTGCTTACTCCCATCTCCAAATCATTAATGAACAAGTTAAAAAGCAGTGGACCAAGTACTGATCCCTGCGGTACCCCACTGCTTACCCCCCTCCACTGAGAGAACTGCCCATTTATACTCACTCTCTGTTTTCTATTAATTAGCCAGTTTTTGATCCATAAAAGGACTTGTCCTTTTATCCCATGATTTATGAGCTTTCTTAGGAGCCTTTGATGAGGAACCTTATCAAAAGCTTTCTGGAAGTCAAGGTAAACAACATCTATTGGGTCCCCCTTGTCCACATGTTTGTTCACCCCCTCAAAGGACACTAACAGTTTAGTGAGACAAGATCTTCCCTTACCGAACCCATGCTGAGTCTGCCTCAATAGGTTTTGTTCATCTATGTGCCTACTAATTCTTTCCCTAATAATGGTTTCCACCAATTTACCCAGTATCAGGTAACCAGCTGCCTATATGGTTGGGGGTCAATTCCAGTTGTTTCCTCGCTTTTGTGTTTCCCCACTTCCCAAGACAGAACAGAGGCACCTTTTCTTCTGTTGTGACCTATCCAACATTTAATGCACATAGGGGCAGTGAAACCAGTGCCCTTAGAACAGCATTTCCATGGGATTTATTCCATTCTGTTTGTAGTCCCCAAAAGAGCCAGGGACTGGAGAGCAATCCTAAATCGGAAAGAATTGAAGCTCTGGGTATCTGAAGAAGCGAGAGTGTCTCACCCTGCCACATATTTTGGTAGTCTTTAAGGCGCTTCTGGGCTCTTGCTCTTTTCTACTGCTACAGACAGACTGACACAGCGGCCCGTCTTGATCTATGGGTAAAGAAGCACAAGTTCCAGTTTAAAATTACTTCACTGCATTCTGCAGCGTATTCAGTGGGACGACCACATGACGTCCTTAGACCTCCCTTCAAGATGTTTGCCTGCGTGTTCCACCTTCCAGACAGCTCTTCCCTTTTTGACTTCTCAGGGCCAGAATTTCCAATGCAAGGCCCTTTGGGCTGACATCGTCTCCAAGGGAGTTTGCCAAGGTCCTGGTAGTTCTAGTAGCCTACCTACAACAACAATGAATCCACCTTTATCCTCACCTGGATGATATCCTCCACAGAGCCTAGGAGGCAGCGGAGGTGAGCTAGGACACCAATCTCTTCAGGCACCTGGACGCCTGGTCAGTGTGCTAAAATAATAGTAATAATCTCACACCCTCCAGGGACATAGCCCACTTCAGGGCCAAGATTCAAACAAGGATGGCCAAAGAGTTTCTACCTGCAGAGAAGCAGGAAAGATTGTTGGAAGGGGTGAAAGAAACCCGGCAGAGGTCGGTGGACCTCATGCACCGGTTGCCAGTAGTGGGCCTGAGGATCCATAGATCTGATTCCTTAGGCCTGCTTCCATGCCAGGCCTTTACAATGGACTCTTCTCCCTTATCAGAAAGACACACACACACACACACACAAAAGGGGAGCACAAATAAGTCAAGGTACTCTCCCCCCCCCCCCCGGGAAGAAGTCACTAAACTAGTGGACTTCACGATCAGATTGGACAGGGGGAGTCAGTTTCCTCTAGCCTCCTTACCTGATGGCAGTCTGGCCACCAGCAGTAGAGGACGGGGAACACACTACAGGGATCAGATTGTCCAAGGCAGACAGAGCTCGTTGGAAGATATAAACAGTACGGACTGGCTGGAACTTGGGGCAATCAGACTAGCACTGCGTGCTTTCCAAATCCTATTGAGGAACAAGTATGTGCTAGGGCACACAGTCAGTACTACGGCAAAGGCGCACAGCAATCGGTAAGGAGGCACCAGATCAGTAGTGCTCCTCCACGATTCCAAAATCCTGTTCGTTTGGGCAGGGGGGAAATTCCGTAGGTCTAAAAGCATAACATCTTTACAGTCTTGCAAACTGCCAAGCCAACTGGCTGAGCAGGAAGGATTTAGATCCAGGAGAATGGAGTCTACACAAAAAGGTCTTCTAGCAAAATCACACTTTTTTCAGGATCCCTATCTCGGATCTTTATACAACATCAGACTACAACCAAGTTGCCAGGTTTCTAATCAGTTTCTGCGATTACAGGGCAGAGTTCGAGGGCACACACACTTGTCGTTGACCCAGTGGTCTGCTTTTCCTCTGGCCACAGTGATCAGCTGAGGCCTGAACAAAGTGTCAGAGGAGACAACAGAGGTGATTTTCATATCTCCCTTCTGGCACAGATTTTTTTTGTGTCTCAGAGCTAGTGAAGATGTCAGTATCTCCACCGTGGAGATTGCTAAGCGCTGGATTCTCCTTGTACAAGAATCCACTCACCACCCAGACCCTATTTGACTCGTAACTGGCGGATTGAGTAGAATTGGGCCTTCCAAGTGACAGTAGTTGACACCATGTTGCAGCCCAGAATACCTGCTTCCAGTCGTCTCTGTAATTGTACATGGCAAACACTGAAAAGTGGGCCAGTACCAAAAAGCTGGATCCACTGAAACTTACTTGCAAATACAACATTCCCTTTCTATGTGGAGGTTGGAATCAGGTTCCAAGACTGGATACTTTAAAAGACCTGTTGCGGCACTGGCCACTATGTGGGACCGCATAAGACTGCCTAATTTTCCTTCTCATGGGCACATTAAGTTTCCCTCGAAGGAACCATACAGTTGGCATAGGGTTGCTTACTGGGAGCTTTTCTAAAGTGTCACAGGCCTTGAGCAAACTTCCACTTGATCCTTTCAAATCATCAGAATCTAAAGTCTCCTCCCCAGAAGACTTCTTTTTTTCCTTGCAGAGATGACTTCTGCAAGAAGGATTTCTGAATTAGGGGCTTCATTGGCCAGGGAGGAAGGAACTGTGTGTGTGTGTGTTTCACAAGGTCTCGGTGGTACACAGGAGGGACCCGTCCTTTGTGCCAGAGGTCTCCCCCCCCCAATCATGTTAACCAAGAGTTGATACTTCCGTCTTTTTGTCCTATGTCATGTTATCCCAAAGAGAGAGTCTGGCACAAACTCTGTGTGTCCGCTTACTGGTTTAGGCTAAAGGACTTTCTGTCTGTGTCTCACAGGGGTGACAGTCTCAAGGCATGTGTCTGAGAGGCGTCTCTCTCTCTCCACGACACACCAGGTCTGTAGCGACAGAGCAACGTTTCCCACAGGCGTCCGGGTGGAGGAAATCGTTCGAGTCGCATCCTGGTCCACCTTTTACCACCTGCGTGAGGCACTGTAGGGGGGACCGGTTAAAATCAGCGGAAACGTCATCTGGTAGAGAGGTGTGCAGCACAGTGGTGGAACAGGATGAAAATAAGGATGAGGATCCCACCCAGGCTGTCGCTTTGGGCGTCGAACCGGTTTGGATGACTTCCCCCACTGAAGGAGAACGAAACACTGGGACTTACCTGAAGTTGTCTTCTCTTCAGTTGGGCAGAGTCATCCACAACCCCTCCAGAATAAAATAAAAGAGAATAAAGTCTAGTTGGACGCAAAATCTGTTATGGAGCTGGGCTAGACTAAGACTGGAGGGTCAGCCTCGCTCTGAGCCAATGCCGTCTACACACATTTGCATAGCCCCGCCTGGAGCGAGAGGAGGCGTGGGATGGCCTCCCCCCGCGGAAGAGGAGGAACCGTCAGGTAAGTTCCGGGGTCACAGAAACGCATCCCTGAGCCTCGAGTGCCCTCCTTGGCGGATTTTCCTGATCTACAAGGGAGGTTTGCTCGTCTCTGTTGGATGTGACAAATGAAATCAAGCAAGCGGGGCAATACCTACACGGCATGGTTTGAATCTTCCCTCGCAGGGTTGCTGTGTGGATAAAATGGAGAAGGGGAGAGTGTTGTAAGCCACTTTGGGTCACTGCTGGGGAGAAAAGCAGGGTGTAAATGGACGGAATCCTCCTAACTGCAGTTCCTGATTGGGAGCCGTTGACAGCGACAGACAAGGAGAAAGTGTTTGTCCAGGGACAGGCTTGGTCCTGGGTTCGCCACTTTGGGCCAATCGCCCTCTTTCATCCTCACCTACCTCACAGGGTTGTTGTAAAAATAAAATGAAAGAGGGGAGGTTGATGTGTCCCCTTTGGGGAGAAGAAAAACAAATAAATATATAAATATTTTAATAAATTCTCGCTAAGATTTCATCCATTGTTTCTTCTGTCATCACTGCAGCGATTTTGTGGGGTCAAAAGAAATGTGTGAAATACTGGATATCACTGGTTGCTTAGCTGACACCTGCATATTTTTGCACATTACTGCTCCTGTTGCTAATGGGGGTGAGCTGCTGAGTGAGCCAGCCCTTTCCTGGAAAGCTGCTCTCAAATGTGGGAGAGCTCCTCGTTCTTCACACGTACCTGCCAGCAAAGGAAGATACTTGTTTCTTGTCTCTGCTGTCCCGCGGATCCCTGCCATTAACACCATTGTTGTCTCCCGTCCTCCTCCAGGTTGAGTTCCCCGAGGCCCGAATCTACGAGGAAACGCTGAATGTTCTGCTGTACGAGACCCCCCGCGTACCCGACAACTCTCTGCTGGAAGCCACAAGCCGCAGCCAGGCCTCTCAGAGCGAGGACGACGATGGCTTCGAGCTGTGCGACAGGGTGCGGCGCATCCACGTGAAGCGATACAGCACTTACGATGACCGGCAGATCGGCCACTAGGCCCCTGCGGCAGCACCAAAGGGCATCTCCCGGCCAGCGAGGGCCTGGCTGCTGGATGCTCTGAATGGTTCCCCGGTCAGGTGTCTGGCATCGGTTTGGTTGTGGCTTATGCCAACCCGCTCAGCACGTTTGTGACTCGTCCCGTTGCAGGAGGATTGAGGGCCTGATGCCTTGTGCTGCTGGCTTACTTTAGCAGTCTTAAACGAAGCACCCCTTTTCCCGGCTCTGGAAGCCCCCCTGGGTTGACTGTCTCCCCCCCTCCTGTCTTCCCTTGCCAGCGACCCTCTCACAGAAGTGGCCTTGAGGACTCTCCTTAAACTGCCTTTTTTAACAGACGTTTGCGATCCAGTTGCAGAGGATGACCGGAAGGTCCAAACGCAGCAGTGAGGTGGCCAATCGGCTCTTTTTCTGTCTAGGGGAGACGGGGCTTTGTGTCTGAACCTGAGTAGAGTTTGGTTCTGAAGGCTCGCTTGGAGCTGGGAGGGCTTCCGGGGGGCCGCCCCCCCCTTGCCTCTATTCGTGGTGTCGGGGAGCACCTGCACGTCCTAGTGCTGCCTCCCCCTCCCCAGCCTTGGACAAATGGAAGGGCAGCTGGGTCCGCAGAGGCCCACCTTTGGGACTTCACCCGCGACTCGTTCACGGCTGCCGTGTGATCCTGCTGCTGGGTCATGTGTTCATAAACCAATTGGGGTTTTTAATTATTTTAGCATATCGGCGAATAAAGTCAAAGAGTAAGAAGCAGAGTATTGAGAAACTCTTTAAGGCTGTTAGTAGGCTTAACTGGGGGGGGGGGCGGTGTGTAAGGGGGGGGGGGGGGGGGGCTGGAAGTGCATTGAGTCTGGACCATCGTGAGTCATCCAGGGTAATGGATCCGTGCTCAAAGGGCTTCCCAGAAATTTATAATCTTGCACAAGGGTCCATCTGGATAAGCCCTGGGCGTGTCCCCCCCACCCCCATCTCAGAGCCCCGTAATCGTGGTGGACGTGGGAGGGGCTTCAGGGGCTTCCCGAGCGCCCTGCGGCTGCATGCACAGGCAGTCCTCTAGCGGCTCCAAGCTCGAGGGGCGCCCATGAACCCCTCAGAAGCACAAGAGTATGGGTGTGGCCTTGGGGGAGGGGGAGGGATCGTCCCTGACTTCAGGCTGTGCTCATTTTCAGGGATGCGCCCAACACTCAGCACGACCTCAGGGGCACCGTTCTGACATGCATCAGTTATTGCAGGTTCTGCAAAGCCAGCTGAAATGTGTGGATCAGATAACCAGCTTTATTGCCCTGAAGTCTAATTTGGCTCTCTGAGGCTTTGGCAGGAGCTGGAAGCAATCCATTTGGGCTGAGAACGATTGAAGAAGGCATGTATTTGCAATGGTTTTCCTACTTTAGGCGGACTGCCCTAGGCCCTTTGACGGGAAGAGATCACGCCTAGTTTTAGATAGACCTCCTTAGTGTAAAGGGCTCCCCCTAGTGCCTGGTTGTGTGAATGATATTATGAGGAACATAACTTGTCTATCCCAGGATGTGGGTTGTGCGCTTTCAGCCTCTGCTAGCAGTTTTGGAAAACTCTCCACAGTCCTTTCTTAAGGCTGGGGAAGGTCACGGAAATAGTGGCCATGTTTCTTTCTTCCCTGGACTGGGAGGGGCATTTTAATGCTACCTCCTGAAGCTGGGTTGGGCTTGTAATATTACAGTTCTGAAAGCTGCCGTGACATCGCAAAGGCAGATGAGAAGAAGAAGAAGAGGAGATTGGATTTATACCCCTGCCCTTCACTACCCGAAGGAGTCTCAGAGCGGCTTACAATCTCCTTTCCCTTCCGCTCCCCACAACAGACACCCTGTGAGGTAGGCGGGGCTGAGAAAGCTCTCTTGAGAACTGCCCTTGAGAGAACAGCTCTGAAAGAATTTGTGACTGACCCAAGGTCACACCAGCAGCTGCATGTGGAGGAGTGGGGAATCAAACCCGGTTTTCCCTGTGAAGGGCAATTAGCAATAAATAGCTAAATGGGCCTCCTTTGTTCAATGGCAGTACACCTCTGAATGCCAACTACTTTGGGCCAAAGGAGGCGTGGTTTCTGTGGTCTCCTGGGTTTCCCCAAGAGGTCTCACTGGCCCCCGTTGGGGATCCTCAGTCTGATCCTGCCGAGCTGTTCTTTGGTTTGCTGGGTGGAGAAGGGTGCGGCGAGCCCTGCTCAAATCCCCACTCTGCCCTGGAGCTCCCTGGGGGGACTTGGCCAGTCAGACTTTCTCTCTCAGCCTCGCCTACCTCATGGGATTGTTGTGAGGGCAGAGTGGGGGGAGTGAGCCATGTATGGTCCCCTAAGTGCTTTGTATGCGTAGGTGGGCAGGGGAGAGGTCACACCTACCTGTCCAGGACCAGCTTCCATGGACCTCCTGTGGTGACCCCTTCCAGAGACCTCATCCTTGCAGGGAGGGTGGTGCATGTACGTGTGTGCGCACGCGCACAAGCCTAGATGCTTCTCTGTACCAAAGCCGTGCACATAGGAGCAAGCCCACACTGGGTCTCTTGCCAGTTCTGCCCGAGGATCCACCGTCTTCTGTGCCTGGCCTTGGCACAGGCGGTGTGTGCATTGGGAAGGGGGGAGAGAGAGGGAGAGAGACGGGCAAGAGGAGCAGGAGGTGGGGAAGAGTAACGGCTCCTGTCCCCTCCACCCTCCCGAGACTGTTGGGGCCTTCTCCCCGCCCAGGTCAGGCCATTTCCAGGCCATTGTGGACTTCCAAGGGCCTTTGAAGTGTGCATCGCCCGAGAGGAAAACCCCCCCCCCCCGTACTGTACAAACCAGACGGGATTTCGACTTGCCACCCTCAGCAGTCCATGGCCTTCCTCCTGCTCCAAAGAGGAGCCAGTTAGGTGTGCCAACTTGGCAACATGCCTATATAATGCACACTCGTGTCTGGGCATACTCTCTCTGCTGGCCATTGTGGGGGGAGCTAAATTGGGCACTGCAGCGTGATCAGAAGAGGTGTTGTTGAGTTCTTCTCCCAACCAGCTCCAGCTTCTGACATTTAATTTGCGATTATTCACACTCTGGCAATCACGCCTTCAGTGCCATGAGATCTAGAATCATGACTGTTTTGAAAGCTGCAACTTCTGTGCGCTGAATCCAATCTTGCATTTTGCACACGATGGCAGATTTTGATGCAGCCCCAACTGACACTCCAAAAGACACATTTTTGCCTTTAAATAGTGTCAGTTACTTGCATGCTGCCAAATTCAACATCTGTTATCAATTTTCCCCCACTCATCTTTTGTGTGTGTGTCATATAATTGAGAACATTTAGTGCCAGGATGGATTCTATGGCTTTGAAATGCAATAGAGTCTGACTATAATCCTTGCTTACTCACCACTCAAAAAAGGAACAAAAGAAAAGTTATTTTCGGAAGCAGTTCCTCAGAGGTCTGAGAATATTCCTCACAAATAATTTCTTCCCATTCAGACAGCATAGACAGTGTTAACTGGCAGTTGCCTTGGGTTTGGTACGTTGGGAGGTCTGTAATACCTTCCACGGAACGTCGCTTGGAGGTCTAGCTCCTGCTGGCAGACTTGGACATGCAAGAGAGCCTCGGGGCGGGGGGGGGGGGAACGTTCCTGTCGAGCTGTCTTGCAGTGGGCCAGACTCTTGCTTCATCAAGCCCTGCTCCCTCCTGTGCTGTCTCGAAGCACCTCCTCAAGGTCTCGGGCCAAAACCAGCCTCTTACTGAACCGGGGATTCTGGGGATTGAACCCAGGACCTTCTGCATGCAAGGCAGGCCTGCTTCACAGGGTGAGCTGGGCCTTAAGAATGCCGAAAGCCATACGTATCAGCGAAGTTCTCTCCTACTGAATGGACTTCTGGTCCCTGTGACCTTGTCTGCTCGTGACTGGGAACTCTGGTCCTCCTTGGCCAGGGCTCCACGTGGAACCAAGATCAGGACGTTGTGGCCATCAGTGGCAGAAGCAACGGAGGTCTGTGTTTCAGTTACTGTGTCAAGAGCCTTTCAGGTCAAAGGGGCCTTTTAAATCCCTAAAACAAAATCCTCTCCCAGAGGTCAAAGTGATTGTGATGTCTGTTACGAGTGGTGGTGCATATGCCTTGGCATCCAGGAAGCCCTACATTTAGCATAATTTCCACAAAGTAAGCATTTGGATTCTTTTTGCTTGGTGTGTTTCCATGGTTTCAGGCTTTCAAATAACTCGGAATTGATTATTTGATGAGAGACGGGAGAAGAGGGGAGAACATGGAGGCACTTGAGCCCTTAACCATGAGAGCTGGAAACTCCGGGTTCTGTTAAATCGAAAGCTGATTGTTTTGTTTGTTTTTTTAAAGGATTTTGAAGCCTGGGATAGATTCTCTGCCTGTGTAGCAACAGTGTTGAAAACATATATGATCCTAACATTTCACCCCTTAACCTAGAAGTTTAGGGATAGGCCAGTTCCGTATTTTCTAGTGGTTGGGTTTGTTTGTGTGTGTGTTTAAAAAAAAAAAAAAAATTAGCACGGTTGTGCACCGTATGAGACATTTCTTCTTTATTCAGAATACAGATCAGGGTTTAAGGGAGTGCCACTGTTGGGTTGTCCTGACCTGATTAGCCCAGGTGAGCCCAGACGGGGAAGCTGCGCAGGGTCGACCCCGGTTAGCCCTCGGATGGATGACCGCCAAGGAAGTCCAGGGCTGCTGGGCAGGGGCAGGGGCAGGGGCAGGGGCTGGCCAACCACCCCCGTCGGTCTCTTGCCTTGGAAGCACGACAGGGTCACCGTGAGCCAGCTGCGGCTTGGCACTTTCTGCTTCCTGTCGGTGTGTTTTGGTTGTCTGCATCTGCCAGGTGCCGATGATGTGTTGGAATAAAGTCTCCCATGATCCTGCTCTCCCGCTGTTGCAGTGTGGCAGCTGTTGTTCTCACCAGCCAGCGATTTAGAAGCTCTACTTGAGACACACCCAAGGCGTTGGGGTGTACCCTGTGCGGTTTTCCCACTCTTGAAAGCACCCAGTTCCTTCTGTTCCATTGCAGAGTGCTTAGGACATTCCGCTCTGTTTTGAAAGTGCACAAAAGTAGTTGCACCGTTCCAGGCTGTGGAGTCCTCTCCTTAGTGAGTCTTTATATGCCAAATCACCATGCCAGAATTCAGCGTATATCCAAAGGAATAACCTGCTTACGAAGAAGAAAGTTTGGTTGGTCTCTTTGGCTGCAGCCACAAAGAATATGGTGGTTGATTTGCCATTGGTCTTTTACGTTCCGGAGACTGCCCCAGCCCCACACAGGTGACAGAGACCTCTCCGTCCTCTGAGCGTGTGAGTTTAGACAAGATTGCAGGGCTTTGATCCTTGGCGCACCGTGGAATCGAAGGAAGCCTGCTGCTAGTAACCACCTGATGGAGCCTTGGGGAATTGACCCCCTTTGTTGGCTTTGCTTTTGAGACAAAATTCCACCCTCCAAAGGAGCCATTTTCTCCAGGGAAACTGATCTCTCTGTTTTGGAGGTTAGCTGTAGTCATGGGACATCTATTCTGGGAGATCTCCAGGCCCCACCTGGAGATTGGCAGGCCTGGATGAGGCCGCTTGGCCTGGCCGCAGCTGCTCCGAGGCAGGCGGGGAAGACCCACAGCACCGCTCCGTGGTGGGACAGGGTTGCTGCAGGGCCAGGCTGGGCCACGGCTCTGTTACCCGTCTCCTGCCACAGTCAAGGACGGACTTGACAGAGGCCCCCCTGCAGCACACAGCCAGGTGCTTGCCTGACCGTGTTCTT